GCAAATCGCACTAACATAAGTCGAATTACGTATGTTTCTTTACTCCGCTAGATAGATAACATAGTAATACAAATTAGACGACCTCGGTCATCCAACGGTTTGCACTGTAGGCACTGGATGAGGAGGTCCCGGGTTCGATTCCCGGTAGGACCAAATTAGGAAATTAACTTTTCTAAATTGTTCTAGTCTGGATATTCTAGAAAGTACCCCCGAGTGAGTTCCGTTGCTCTGGTATTCATAGTACAGGAAATTCCCTAGTTTGAGTCCAGGTAATTGATGTGGTTGCTTGGAACATTGTTATTATTATTCCCTCTTAACGAAAAAAAATAAATCATTCAAATTACGTTCATTTTAAAACTGTATACCAAAAATGTTGTAAAGGTTATGTATCGTTTTTCGATTGTATAAAGGCATAACCAGTAAAACCGATATTGAATTGAAATATATATATTTTGAAGAAAAAAAAACAGCAACACAAGATAAACTCATACTTCGGATTATTTATTGTCGCTAAAGAAGTGTCATTGCTCCCTAAAATATCTATTCGAATGCTCGTAGAAGAGAAGCGTATCTTTAAGTACGACGAGAAACAAATTCGTCAATAGTAATCTGAAACGAAGTAAGCAACATTACATTCTAGAGTAATAAAAGAATTTTTAATATAAACATGTAGGTCCTGAATCCAAAATTTTGATATTTTGTGTAATTTGGGCAAATGCAATACGAGTAAGTTAGCCTTTATAGAATGATTTTAGTGGCCTTAAACTGCCTGTGGCCGAACGGTTCCCGGGCTTTATATGGCCTATATATTTGTATGATATTATTTTTATGGCCTTTTTTTTTTTTTTTTGACGGGGGGGTTTTGTTCTCGCTTGAGTTTGGGTGTAATTTTTGTTTATGATTTGCTTGTGTTTGTAATGTTTTTTGATTATAATTTGCGGTCAAAATTTATTTTTTGCCCTTTTTTTCAATATTGCTGCTGCCATACAAACTTTTTTAGCGGCAGATAAAAATTTGCTCTAATTCGATTGAAAATGGACAAGTCGAGGTCTCTGGGAGTGTTTAATATAAATTGACGGTCAAAATTTATTTTTCGCCATTTTTCAATATGGCTGCCATACAAAATTTTTTGGTGGTAGATAATTTTTTTTCTAATTCAACTGAAAATGGCATGGCTTCAATCATAATTTCGGGTAAAAATTTTGTTTCCGCCATTTTTCGAAATAACCGCAATTTTTTATGTAAATGGCTGTTGAAGTAACTTGCTTTGCTTGGACTGAAAATTGGCACGAAAAGATTTCTAAGATTTTTGATAAAAATTAGTGGTAAAAAACATATTTTTCCCGCGGAGGGCGAAGCCCGAAGCGTATGCACGCTATCGCGATGGTAATAATATTATTATATACGGAGGCGTAATAGATTACGAGTATAAGATCTCACAATTGTAAAAATGAAAGGCATACTTCCCGATGTAGTGGAAATGAGATACTTATTATAGCGTTGTTGTATCTCGATCGTCTCTCAGTTAGATTCCATTTTCTTGAAAGCTATGCCAAAGAGAAGTATATAGGGGGAAAAAGTGCCAAACTGCTGCCGCATTTCCTGTACTATGAATATCGAAACAACGATAACCCAGAATACTCAGACCAAAACCAACTTAGAAATTTAATGTTCGTTTCTTAAATTGACCCAAATCGGGAATCGAACTCCTCATCAAGCACCCGTAGTACTAATGCGTGTGCCATCGTAGTGCTTGAGCAGACCCCATAAACTGAACCCGACCTCGCGTCGCAGGCCGAGCCCAACCCTACCGTAGGTGGGGTACAGGGCTCGTTTTTCATAATGCCTATCTTAGCGACCACGCAATGATAGTGGCTGAATATTTTATAAATAAAACCTAAAGAAGTGCCACAGTATATTTTATACAAGAAATCTTAACTCGATTGACCCCGAAGGGTTTGAAAACGATATGAAAAAACTTCCTTGGCCGGAGATAGAAAACTGTCGTTGTGTTAATAAGAAAGTGCAACATTTTAATTCCCTACTGTTATTGTTGTATGATAAGCATGCACCTTTGCGTAAATTGCGTATTAATAACAGACTCATGCCGTGGATTACTGGAAATATAAAGTTAATGATGTCCTTACGCGATGAAGCACTAGCTAGAGCGAATAATTCTAATACTGATGCTCATAGAGGCTACTATAAACAATTACGCAATTTGGTGAATGGGGCATTAGATAGACAAAAAAGAGTTATTTTAATTTTTACGTAAATAGTAATGAACATGCACCAAAGAAAACGGAGTCATTTTGAAAATGTTGTGTAGCAAAAAAGTGCTGAGCAGCAGTGGAATGTCAACGACCATGCCACTTCATCTAAGTAATCCGGACGCCATAAACGATTTTTTTCTTGATACACCAGGTAGTGGTAATGTAGATACTGACCACATAGGACGTAACCCTTCGTGCAAGAAATAGTTTCAGACTAGCAAAGTCTTCTGTTGATCAAGTGAAAAAATAATACAATGAATCAAAACAAAGCACAAGGTCACAATTATATTACGATGGATATGATACGGGGAACACTAAATGTCACCTTACCTTTTATTACTAATATTATAAATTCTTCAATAGAATCAAATATTTTTCCCGAAACTTGAAAAATAGCTAGGGTAAAACCTATTCCGCAATCTTCTAAAGTTGAAGAAATTATATGTAGATTTGAGACCGATAAGTATTGTGCCCATTCTTTCGAAGGTCCTAGAAAGAGTTGTTTGCTCACAATTTACTAGGTATTTAGAAAAAGAGAACATTCTGCCTGTTGTACAGTCGGGTTTTCGTAAGGGGCATAGCACTGATACGGCTGTAGCACACGTCATTGATGACATTATAACGGCCACAGATACTGGTATGGTTAGTGTTCTCGTCCTTTTAGATTTTTCTCGCGCTTTTGAGTCTATCTGTACTGAACTTTTAATTGCCAAGATGAGCCTTTATGGTGTGAGTGAAGATGTCTGTGACTGGTTTCGGTCATTTCTTATAAATAGAATGTAATATGTGGAGTTGCAAAATGAAAGAGGAGACATAGTTAAGTCCGAGATTAAAACGGTGGGTAGAGGCACGCCACATGGATCTATTCTAAGCCCTTTTCTATTCTTATTGTACACCAGTGATCTCGTACATACTCTCAAATTTTGCAATATTCACTTGTATGCCGACAACATACAAATTTACCACGCTTTTCCGCCTACTGATGTGATAAGAGCTATTAATGAACTGAACTAAGATCTAATTAGTGTAAGCGAATGGACTAGTAGAAATGCACTGGTTTTAAATCCTAGTAAATCTAAATATATAATTCTGGGTTCTAAATATCAGCGTAACCGTGTTCTAGAGCAAAATCCACTTGTCTGTATAGGAAGTGACGTTATAGCTAGAGTAGAAACAGCAACCAACTTGGGTCTTTTGATTGACTTTTGAGTGACCTGCAATTTAAAGATGACATAAACTTAAAAATCCGTAATGCCTTCTTTAGGCTTAAACTCCTATACAACATTAGAAAATTTCTAACGATAGAAATAAGAAAATCTTGTAGAATCACTGGTATTATCAGTTTTTAACTATTGCGATACTGTATATGGTCCTCGCCTTCTAAAATATACTCGAAACGCAATTCAAAGAGTACAAAACGCTTGTGTGTGTTTTTGCTATAATGTACCTAAGCGTAGCCACGTTACTCCTTTCCTGAACGCTAATGACGTTCTGAAGATGAACTATCGGAGACTTTTGCATTTGGCATGTCTTATTAATAAGATTGTTTTTACACAGTGTCCAAAATATTTATATAACAAATTTCGTTCGTGAAAGACGCTCACAGTAAAAATACACGTAGTACGAATACCAAATTATTATATATTCCGCGTCATACGACTGCTGGCTTTAGAGGGAAGATCTGGAATGATTTACCACCGCTACCCTTGCATGAAAGTGTGTTCCAGCAAACTTTTAAGTCCAAACTGAAAAAATTATTTATAACTGCTCAAAAGGAAGATGCTGAATTACCCCAGGGTCATCAAAATATATTGTAAATTTTAGACCTACCTACCTATTTTGTAAGTTTCTGTTAGAATAACTGCTCGTTTTTATATTCCACTTATTACCATCTAAGGAAATTTAAACTTGACAATCGCTATCGGTATTTATTGAGTAAATTATTATATCTATTTTATTTTTATTTTCTTTTCTACTTTCGCGCTCCTCAAATAGCTTAATTCAAGGTCTGTACTAATTTTGTTCCATAAATTGCCTGTTACACAAACGCGAGACCGTGGCTCCTGGGAGGTTCTGGCTGAAAATTAGTGCTGTGCAAACTAATATGTACAGCATATACTGAGCTCAGAATCCTTGGGACACATCTGTAACCATAGATACAGTATTGTGTTTTTAGTTACTATTTATATGTTAGATTTTTCATTTGTATGTTATTTTTGCCGCAGCAAATAAATGGAATTTGAATTTGTAATTTTAAAAAACGGATTCTGTAATCAATGTAGACTCCCTACATTGATTTCAATAATAATTGCAAGATGACATGTCAATTTTGTCTTAGGACAAATTGTAAAGTATGATTCGAAAGTTGGAAATATTTTATAATTTTTGTATAATCAATCAAAAAATTGTTTTAGAAAACATAATATTTCTCTTTTCGAAAACAATCGGTTAACATTTTTAGAACGCTCCCACGGTAGTTATCTTTTTTTCTTTATTATCTTATGATTCTTATATATCGCTCCACTTTACTCTTTATAAATAAATAAATAAATAACGCACACACTCAACATAGCCCCGCATTAGGGAAACCCTGTGTCGCGGGTGCCATGGACACACACATAGACAAACACAAATTACACCCAAACTCACGAGAGAAATAAACTTAAAAATATTTAAGAGATAATGTTAGCAGGTCAGAGAAAATAATTGATACAAAATTTAATGTTAATGACACTGGCGCTGCCGCTGCGGATGCTTCCTCAGCTGGCGCTGCTGACGCCGACTGTGGCGCTGCTAACGCAGCTGCCGCAAGCGCTGACGCAGACGCTGCGGGCGCGCTGTTGGCGCTGCCGCAGCCGCGTTGCGTGAGTTTAACTTTGCGTAAGACCTTTCGCAAAATCAATATTCTATTCAACCGCATACTGTTAACATTTACGTGATGACATGTAGCTTATACCCCTATAATGTTTTGTGCCCTTTCAGATTTTGGTGATGATGATGTGGGCAGTTACGCGCGAGCATATCTCCTCAGTAGGTTGCGAGGACGCTGCCCCGTCAGGAGAGGCCGTGTGAGGAATGTCTCTGCAAGTGCTGCCAACATTCAGCGACGAATACTATATAAGGCGTTGCAAACCAAGCTAACGGCTTTTTTTTGCTTTTTTTTCTGGTGTGTTTTAGACGCATATTTACCTATCGTTGATTTGTATAACGTCCCGTGCTTTTCAATTTCGAACATTAGATTTTGTTTTTTTTTTATTAAAATTTTTATTTTATTAAAATTATTGTTAATTTCTAGTCGCTTTTAGGATTTCTGGTTTAGATTTCTAACAATATTATAATTTAAAATTGATGGCTTTGTATACCTACAGGATATAACAAAAAGGTCCTACCGTATTTCACGTAGCGGGTGAGTTGTGACTTTTGAGCAAGGAAATTTTAAACTCGCGAAAATTACAATTTGATTCCCCTAAGCTTGCATTGTGAAAGAAATTATCTACGAGGTATTGTAATAAATGAACTATTTAACCAATGAACGTTATGTTACATTGAAACCGTGGTTGCATTTTTAAATTGGTACTTAATATGCCATTCAGTTATGTTTTCGTACGATAGCTAAAAGTTACTTAAATTTGTCATTTGTTTTTATACAAATATATATTATCATAAATATGTCTTCGTCATAATAGATTGTAAGACATTTGCCTATGGGTGTATTCTTACTTTAATTTGTTTCTGTTTGTGTTTAATAAAATTATTATAACCACAGAACAATGTTAGATTCTTGTGTTTGACTAAATTGTAATGTATTTATAATGTAGTTTAGTAGTGCTTTATAAATAAGAGATAAAAAACCAATCGAACAAATACTACGTGAGATTCACTATAAGTTTCCGGAACGAATAAGAAAAAAATTCTATAAATGGTGTTCACGTGCACGTGACGTAAACATACAACCTGACCGTACATTTGCTAAGTGATGACAATAGACTACTCAGCAGTGCAATGACCGTTCTGAACTAGGCTGCTGAGTAGAGTAGTTAACTTTATGTATACATTTAAAAATAATATTGTTTATAGTCACACACACTTAAATACCGTTTTGTATAAATAGCTTAAGTTTTGTAAATAAAACTCTCTTTGAATTCAGACATCAACGCTGTCTTATTGACAACGGAGCACTCCTGACTACAGCATCCTCTCACTGCGGCCAAGACACCTTTAGCCGTTAGCTTATCTGATCAGTCTTGTGAGTCTGTGAGACTGGTAGTGAGAAAACCTTTTCTTAAAGCACCCTTATCCTCCCCCCTTTCCGTCTGTTGCCTTAGGTCGCACGGTGACAGGCTTCCCCTACTATTTATATAAGTACATATTCCGTAGCGTATGGTTAGGGCTAGGCTGTTAGGTAGGCAACTAGGGTTGTTAGTGATAGTACAGCTTTCCCTGACCACTCATGTATAGCCAGCTAGCTACAGCTAGGTAGTTGACTGTACAAATGGCAAGAAATGAATTTATTGTTTCTCAAAATATTCTCCGTTAACGTTAATGCACATTTTCATACAAATGCACCAATTTTGAAAACATTTATGCCGCTCCTCCGTGACAATCTCCGAAACATAGTTTTCATACTCTTCGACAGCCTCTTCAGGTGATGAAAATCGGCGACCGCGTAAATGGTTCTCAATTTTTGGAAATAAATAGAAGGAACAAGGAGCCAGGTTGGGACAGTATGCGGGATGGCTCATAAGGTCAACGTTGTTCACATTCAAAAATTCATTTGTCTGTCTGGCCGTGTGAGAACTGGCATTATCATGGTGCAAGATACGGCGTTTACAGTTATTTTTACGGAGTTTGACCATAACTTCCGGCAAACAAATAGTCGTGTACCAATCACTATTCACGCCAGGTTCCAGTTTTATTAAAAAAAGAAGCAATCATCCGCTTAGAGGCACTTTACACGCGCGCCACTTTGGTTGGTTTCGGCTCATCTCGAAAGACCCATACGCTCGATTGCTGCTTTGTTTTGGGATCGTAACTATAAATCCATCTTTCGTCACCTGTTACTAACTCACACACCAAATTGACACCCCTTTGTTGAATCTGGTAAGCATGGCATTGCACCTAGTGACGCGATCCGTTTTTTGAGCCTCAGTCAAATTGTGTGGGATCCACCGAGAGCACAGCTTCTTCACAACCAAATGTTTGTGTAGTATTGACTGTATTTGACTCATGCCTATGCTTATAGATGCCGGAATCTCATGGTATGTCACATGCCTATCTGTTTTGATCATACGGCGCACAGCATCGATTTTTTTTGTTGTTCACAGCAGTGGACTATAAATAGTCGTTTTGCATGGTGCTTCATCACCGAAAGCAGTTTGAAGCCGAGCAAACCTCCGCTGAGCTGTTAAATTACACATAAAGTCGTAGAAAATCACACTACGAACATTTTCACGAATTAAATCCATGGTGATGTAGACAACGGATTTTTAAAATGACGCCACAATGTAAAAGCAAGTGACAGTCAGATGAAACAAACTGCATTTTACAGCCAAAGAGTTCCATTTTCAAATGTTGTAATTGCTTTTTAAATATTGTTTATGTAAGCGGCCAGTTCCGGAACTTATATTGCGCCCTATGTATACAAATATTTTTACACGATATCTATTTACTAGCGTACTACATGCGGCGTTCCATACGTACACACGCAGTGTTTCACTGATGTGCGGTGAAGACGCTGCACATCATTTAGTTGGTTGTCAAATATTCAAGATAGCTAACGCAGATGCGGTCCTCTTTCAAAATTAATTTACTATCTCATTTCGCTATTGACTGATTGTGTGAACGTAAATTTAATATTTTAAATTGTTCGCATTGATTCGGTAAGTAATGTTGTGGTTTTTTATTAATTTGTGCATTATAATAATTTGATAATCGCGAAATAGTATGCAAAATTTCGCATTATTCATCTCGTTTTGCAAGGCGCGTGTTAAAACAAGGCAAAACATAAATCATAGATTAAGAAGCAACAATGTTCAACAAAAACAGAGTATATATGTATAATATGATTACAACAGTTACTAAGGTTACTATATGAATTAAAAAAATATTAAAAAAGTCTCGGCTCAGCGATGTGTATGTACTTGATTAGGCTGCATAGTCTAGCTGCAAGATCTATGCTTTTCCGCAAGGAAAAGTACATAAAATCAATAATTTCAACAACTCGACTGTAAGTTTTTTCTTTTACTTAGCTTGTTTTTATTTTTAGTAATATAATAATTATAAATAGTACGGCCTGAGTCAAAGCAAACTGAAAAGTATTTGTGCAATTGCGTTAATTCCCCAAATATGGTAAACACTCAATATTATCTGCCTGCTTAGCTTATTTCTAATAGGTATAGACTATTACGTCTGTCCACGGTACTACGGTACTAATACTCTTTGGCAAAATTCAACATTAAAACAAAACACTATCGCTATTGATAGTGTTTTGTTTGGAACAGTTTGGAACATTTACTTACTGTGAATGTTCTTGAAGTCGTTGTCACACTGTGAGATTTTGCTGCAGCGGCAGAAGGCGCAGGCCGTAAATGAGTGCGACTGGTGCAGGATTGTTGTGGATGGCACAAACTATAATCATGGTGATAGTGATGAAGTAATTATACGTATTTGGTTTTTTGTTTCTACGTAACACCAATATTTTAACGTCAATATTATCCAAATGTTAATAGTTCAAACGTCATCACGTCCTCGCTTAGTGCGCGTTTCACTTAGAGCTCTTGCGTAATTCATTAAATGTGACATCTTATTTCACCTCCATTTGTGTCCTTGACATTCTGTGGAGAAAATAAACTACTTTCTTTTCATAATTGAAATTTTTTTACCAGCATGGCTTCTTTGCTATATAGTAAACCATAATATACAAGTGTAAGAAAACGGTTTTACCATATTGGAGCTGGAGATTATTCTCAAGATAATAAGAATTTTAAACAAAAACACGAAGGCCATTTCTAAAGCAAACAATGGATGTTTTTCTACATATATATTACGTATTCCAGTACGCAAGAGTTTTAATCTTGCTTGACAATATTACGATTACAAAATGTGCTGCGAACAATTGAAACGGGATATATTGCTGATTTTAAGATTTTCGCGGTAACTCACTAAGGCCTATTCCACTAATACCTACATGCTCTCCTCCCTGGTGGAGACAAGTGATTTTTTTTTTCACTCTTCCCTACCATGTCGTCACTGGTTGGGATAAGTGGAATTTCATTTCCACTTATCCCTACCCAACCGTTTCTATTAAAATGAACAGTCGTAAGCGAGTGACAGTGGTAACGTCAGAAATAATTTAAATTAATGTAATCGTCAACAGCGAAAGAGAGTACACAGATATGTCTGTGCTTAAAACTGTTTATCTGCCGCTGGCCAGTCAACCCGTGACCATGAAGCGTGTAACCGTTTCGAAATATCGGGAAATAAAAAATGAATCGTGGTAAGAAACCTGTAATTAGTGGTATCCCTTTAATTGTAATGATATTCAAGGTATATGCAGTGAAATTATGATGAAGTAAACGTAATGCTATGAACTTAACCTTCCAGTGGTCGCACCCTTGCGCCGAACATAAGCAGTCATGTGCGGTCTGTGAGACCGCAACTTTACGCGTGCAGCTTGAGAAGACAAAAGAATATTGTCATGACGTTGCGTAGCACATGATAAAGAAAGTCTTTTATCTATATAAATTAAAATAAAAAAACGTTATTTACTTACGTTATGATAGGTACAGGTAGAGGCTCAACTTGGATCTTGGATACAGGAATAATAATAACGCACTCACTTATAGCCCCGCACTAGGAACACCCT